AACGTACGGTTTGTTAGTCTAACGTAATGTGGACGTCATTGCATGTTGATGATATCCAGGATGAGCCACAGGGTGGATAGAAAGTTAAGACTGATTATTGAGGACTGACTATTCTTAATGGCCTGTGGGTGATGGTATACCAATGGCCCCTGGGTGAGGACATTACCTTTTAAATGGTCCACTGGATCTGGTTCATTTTTAGACAGGATGGTATAATTCATTCTGAAGGCTTGCATTTTCATTTCATATTTAATCTACTGTAAACTGGGTATATAGAATAGAATAGAAGAACAAATAAATGAAATGACTAATCCGGTTCTTATCTTAGCACTTAAAAAAACTAACATTTGTTAGCTAATGAGCTAGATAGCTTTCGTCCACACAGTGGACTTCATCAGGGGAATGTACAACAAATGGGATAAAATACATGTCAGTGATAACAAGGGGAGATACTACAACTACAAAGTATGCAAATATGGTAGATATTGGTAAAATCTGCAGAAATAAACAGCACTAAAAGGATAAACTATTCATTCTAGCAATCTTCTAAGCTATATTCATACTAACAAATCATTGTGGGGGAGCGGGCTATATTCATCCTAACAAATTATTAACAATAGCTTTACTGTAGAAGACCAATGTAATTTCTATTTAATAACGCTGTACTTTGACTATCATACACATCATGTGCACAACCAGTACCTACAGGTATACATCTCAAGAGAGGGGTCAGGGGCTTTATTTCTCTGTCTTAGCTGCAATTACACTAGACACATTGCGACACGATAAAAATGCGCTCAGTGTTGAAGAATATAATTGACGCGATAATATGCCGTTTTCGAGTCATTATTGTGTCTATTGTAAATGTAGCATTAAAGGTCACGCTCTTAGTTTATGACTTGTCCGAGAAAAAAATTTAAATTTTTACTGGACTTGAGATAGATCCTTGTGCTCCCTACCCCAATCCCACTGTTTATCAACTACTGTACTGAAACAGTGCTAAAGGGGTACTAAAGAATAACCATACATGTATTTTTTTGTGGGGAGGGGGGGTCTATATTCATTCATTCTTCTATTTACTTTAACTGACCCATTAGCACCCTGATTTTCATACTAAATAAAGATCATAGACACAGTCCATAAGGTGTCTCAAAAATTTCAAAATATAAAGTATTTTTAATTAAGATTACACTAAATTATTTACTTTTTAAATAGCTTTATATGTACTGTAGCTAAGAAAAAAATGATTAGATGGAAAGTGTGGGTAGGAAAAAAGAACTACAGTATAGCTATGATTGTTATTGTGAGCTTCCAGATCAGGCTACATTTTAAATGTTAATGGAATTTACAGGATAATATAATCACTGAGACAGGCTGAGAAATGCATGACATCATCTTGTACCATATCATACACATTTTGCCAATGGCTAGCTTTACAGTCTTTACTATATTGACCCAAACCAGCTGTGGATTACATCTAGGTGACCTAAGAACAGCACTTGAAAAAGTTTAGTTAATTTCACCATCACTGCATGCAAACTATTAGGCCCAATAAAAAAATTATTAGTTTATCACCCTCGCGCACATACCTTTTAACCTACTGAAAAACATTTTTTTTTAAATTTTATTTATTTTTTTTAAAATTATTTTTCTTTCCAATTTTTAAATTACATGGTTAGTAGATATTGTTTGTAGTATCTCAGTCATGTTCTACTTTGAATATCAATGTACCTGCAAACAACCCAAGGGTGATTTGGCTTTAGCAAAATGAAAAAAAGCCTCCCTCTTCCCTCCACACTTTTCCAGCCTAGATAGGGTGATACTAATATTTGTTAATCCTTGGCCTTAATTACGGCAAAGCCTATAAACGTAGTTCCTTAGGACAAAGTTTACAGACTATGAAAATTAAAACAATGTGTAATAGTGTATATTATTAAATGACAAAGTCACTCAAAAGATTAAAAAAATGAAATTAACTGTTGTCACAATATATCTTCTACAATTGCTATAAGTATATTTTAAAATACATACAATTTGAATTTTCTATTCTGGCTATCTTGAATGAAAATAAAACTTAACCAGAATGAAATGAAAAGTAGAGAATTACATTAATAAGTTTTGGAAATAATAAAACTTGTAGTAGAAATAAACTGCTTGAATTGAACACTTAACGAAATTGTTAAAAAAAAAACCAAATTAAGTTTTTATACCATATTTTGCATTTACGTCAACTCATTCACACACACATCCGGCATTAACATTTTTAGGAGGTAAGGTAATTAATTTTGTATTACTCTTTGTTCCCTGAAGATTAATGAAAAGTCAATATATTAACAGCAGTGTCTGTAGAATTTAGTTAATCATGATAATAAACCAGCTAAGTCTTAAAGAAGGCCTGTCTGTCATTGCAATTTGCTAAGTAACAACTCTGTGCAATGTGAGTCAAGATCCTGTGTTCTGTAATGATGTACAATGTAAAAAAAAAATGCTTGGTGGAAAAAATTGTTGCCATAGCCTATACTGTAGATATATTTATTACCAATACAGTACATGTAAGTAACATCTCCCAATTACGTACCCCTTCGTCCGAACATGGTTGTAAATGAGAAAATTCGTAATTCAGAGAGTTCAAATTTTCAGCATCTCAGTGTGGTGAGGGTAGGCCTTGGCCATGCTACCAAGTACAGGGCTGGGTAGGCCTAAGCCTTGCCAAAGGAGAAAAATTTTGTCACAAAATATGACTTGGATTTTATTGTTTTCCGCAACAAAATAATACTTTACAGAAGCCAAAATTACCTGTGCTCACTATGAAGTATTAATTTGAACATGACCATAAATGCCTAAAATGAGTGTTATTATTCTTTTCATAAAGATCGCGAATCCATGTGAATAGCGCTCCCAATGATCACAAAGTGAGAATTACTTTACAGTATGCCTGAACAAGCATGCACGAATATAACATATCTCGGCTGAAAACGATTGATATTTCTTGCTTTAAACTTAGTTTTATATCACTTTATTGGTTTGAATGTTTACTCTCTTAGCTGATGTAACAATTTAAGGTATTTTGGAAGACTTTTATATACATTTTAAAGTGTTTTTGTAGTTAAAAAAACAATCGTTCGTAATGACGTCATTGCCACAAATTCGGTTCATAAAATCGAGAGTTCGTAAATGGGAGGTTCGTAATTGGGAGATGTTATTGCATTATGAAAAAAATCAAGATTTCTATAATAAATTAATCAACACTTCAAATTCAGAAAAAGAAAAACAACATGCAGTTGCATTACCAAGTGTAAACGTCACAGTCATGTTACATTGATTCTTGTTTATTGACAATTATTCTCAACAACACAGTATCTTATTAGTGGAGATGACAGAAAAAAACCATTAGCACATTCTCACATAAATTTATCTTTTTAGCACAAACAACAGTTCTACAGTTTCTACTGTTTTTATAATCTGATTGGTCGTTTTTTAAAACAAGCACAGCTGAATTGCTCTACAAGGTCAATTGCCAGACGATAACAAAGTGTCTACTCCCCTCCCACCCTGGGGCAGCAGGCACAAAAAGCCAGTGTAGGGTAGGCCTACAGTAGATGAATCATAACATAAAAAATAATTTACTTACTTACTTAATTAACCCATCATCAATTCATTCTTTAATTAACAATCAATAAAAAGAATGTGACATAGTGTAAAACCCAGGTCATGGCTTAATCAGGCACATGCAGGGTATGGACAACAAGGATTAAAGATAAAACAAGGTATTGCTAAACCCCGCAAACCTCCAAAAACACACTGTAGAGACCAACCAAACCACTTGATTGTGCTCTTATACGCACAACTACAAATTTTAGATTTAATCATTCATGTTCTTTATTATGTGCAGATGGTACGTAAAATGCAAATTTACTACTGCAATAAAGCAATACATGAATAAGGTGAGCACAATTTTAAATACAGGAAAATAAGATTTTGATAACACTTAAAAACTTATAAAATGGTAATAGGACTCACTTGGTATCTCAATAAAAACATTAAAAAGGTTATGTTCATAATAACCTATGTTTTGGTTAAAATTTAATTTTTTTTTGTGGAAAATACTGAAAATACACTGCAAACCTCCAAAAACACACTGCAAACCCCATCGAAGCCCCTTGATTATAATTGTATCATGTACTGTTGTATAGGACTTACTTGGTATCGCAATAAAATAATTAAATAATTTTATTTTCATAACCTATTTTTGTGTAAATAAAGCCAATTTTTGTTTTAAAAAATTGCTTAAACCCTGCAAACCTCCAAAAACACACCGCAAACCCAATCCAAACCTCTTGATTATGATTGTATTATGTAGTAGTACTCACTTGGAATCTCAATAAAAAAAATTAAATATTAATCATATTATAACATCTTATTTAGGGGTAAAAAAGGCCAATTTTTGTTTGAAATACTGCGCCACAAAAAAATGTTTAAAACGAAGAAATGAATTAATGGCACTTCACCCACTCAGGCGAGTGTCTAGTGCCCCAAATAGCATAGCTACTTGTCAATGCCAGCTCGCAAATTTGTTTTTTATACGCTTTACATCGCTTACTACTTAATCTAAAAATATTATTTAATTTTGTTTCATTTTCCTTGGAACATACTCCCCTAGAATCAACCAGCCTCCAGGCAAAACAACATATAACCTTTATCTTTCATATCGTTGTCTTTAATACTCATCAACATTGTCTACAACTCAAAAAACATTCATCATCACCATCACTACCAACGCCGTCATCCTCATTCTCTCCTCATCATCACCAACTACCGCCACCACCATTATGTGTTCCCAACATTGACATCAATATTACTATCAGTGACATCAGTATCATCACATCATCGCGACCATAACTGTCGTCATCATACAGTACTGTATCTGTAGTATCTCACAGAATAGAACAACATTCTTCAAAATGCTAGAAAAAAGTTGTATAATGTTTTCATTGTCTTACTTTTACATTTCTGACAGTAAGTATCGTCACGATACTCTCTAAATTCGTCCTCTTTAGACTTTTGTTCGCGTTCTACACGTAACCTTGCAGCTTCAGATTTTGCAAATTGTCCAAGTTCCTTTGTATATCTACCATGCATCTGGTAAGTAAATTATTATATAACAATTAGTACACAATACTCAAGTTTTATTTTTCTTTTTTTTAATAATATTTTAAGTAATTGATCTTTAATTAATAAATATTATATATTCCCCACACAGCCCTAATTATTTTATAGTATGGGTCTGGCTGGAAAGATGACAGCACAGATTATGCTTGATTTGAAACCATTTTGTGTCAAGCCAGAAGAGAACCTAAACTAAAGGCCATGCAATACCAAACAGAATGTAAAAAAGATTTTAACTTGCTTAACACAGAAAACACTGTGACTGTACTAATCATATAGTATTTTTTTACCATAGGCATATGTAGGCACCACACGATGCGTGACGTCACGCACTTCATTTAGTGTCATTAGCCAAGTTCAGCCAAGCGTGTTTTTGTCAACAAAAGGCCTTAAGAAAATATTCATATAAAATGCTTTTTGATTGGTTGAGACGTTTCCATCAGGTCAATCAGGTCACTCAGGGGTCGAAGTAGTACACCATGAAGTTATCAACTTTTGAAAAT